GATCTCAATTTTTGTTGATTAACGTCACTGACGTAACTGCGTCTCGAGGCCTCCTCAGTTAAACAAACTTCAATGAAAATTGATTCACGCTTCGTAAAAGGTAACGTTTATTTAAACGAACAGTTATCACCTTTAAATAAATGTACTTGTCAAGGAGACAATAAAATTATTTTACTCTTTTTAATATTATTATCACTTTAAAGGAAGTGTTTCCAACTCGGAAGAACTAAAGAGTTTACACTTGACGTTCAGTGTAGCTCATTCTTATTACCTGAAATATTTGAAGTTTTAAATTTGTGCAAACAAAATTTTGTTATTTTATTTTTATGTTATTACACGATTATACTATATTTATTACTATTTATTTTATGATAATCTACTATTTACGCGCAGCTTCATCACCGTCTTATGTTTCAATTGAATTAAAATAAAAAAAAAAAAAAAAAGTAATAATCATACGAGTATATTATTATTTTATCTATAATCTTGTTTGTAAAGAATAGTCTCCAGTACATATCAGAGTTAGATTGTAATCGTACCGTGTTTTTATTTACTAATCATATAGTTTTCACAGCGTAGTGAATTTGTTCATAGGCACGGCCCGATCGTAACTAGTCTGGTTGTGCCTGTGTATGCATACGCTTGGTTCATTGTCTTAATTCACTTTCTTATATCACACTATAGAAGTTATTGCATTCGGTGATGCAGTGTGACATTTTAGAGCCATGGCCAGCAGGCATGACTCAGTGGACACGATATGAACCTTGATGTGCTGAGTCACGACTTTTTCATCACTATCATATAACCCTTTCATTATTTTCATACGTTATTTTGTATCTTAAAAGATCACTTGCACTTACTTTCAGTAATGTATATAAATCATGTTCGTTGTATTTGTTGATTTTTTATTTGGCAAAATTGATTTGAATTTTCAGTTTAAATATTACTCAACTGTGAATTATTTCATTTTTTTTGGCCTACTATACCACGCTAGCCAGACAGGTTGGTAAAGGGTTTGTGTCAAGTTTTCCTTCTCTCTGCAGTGCTGTTGTTCTGCGGAGATTTTTCCTTTAGTCGGCTCTTACGACATCCACGGGATGAATAGGGGTGGTGACACTCTGTATTCTTAATCCGTACCACACGGACCTTTTTTTTATTTGCTGTACTATAACTACTATAATTGTATTGAATTATAGGGAGTTCTTCTATAATGTTTATTGATACTGTGCGATTGTGTTAGCTGGTGTATTATTTGGGGTAATAGTGATTTCATTGTTTGACAATTCAGCACTTAAATCCAATACTGCATCAAACATCTCCTTTCTTTGTTGAAAACCTTATTGAAGTGTAAAAAATAACAAACTATTTTATTCAGAAAAAATATTGTTTTTAAGTAATGTTTTCTGAATCCTTACTGAAATAAAGAGAATATTTTGTTAATTGGTTCGAAATATAAATGCATTTTGATAAAAAGAACTATTTAAAAAAGAGTTTAGTATCTATGTTTGTTCAATTCGAACAGCTAAAAAAAACGACATGAAACCGTAATTCGATTCGAAAAATAGGATGAACTCACATAGAGAGTTTGGGACAGTAAGAATGTGTAATATGTGTGAATCAACACACGCCAATATACTGTGGTCTGTATTATTCAATTAATATTTATAACTAAAAAATTAGTCTTGTCGTTAACCTACATTTTTAACGAACGTTATATTGACAGAACGCTTATACGGTTTATAATTTAGTAAAATGAACGTAATTAGTACATCGAACTGTTGAGTTTTATAGGTTTTTTAACATTCTATATTTCAAGCTTTTTTTGTCAAGCAATTTGTGACCTAAAAATACTAATCCTAGGGGCATAGAGTTCGAGTTGCTATCCTTTCTTAACTATGTGAGAAGGATCGTAATACAAACGTCAAAAAGCATCAGCAGTCTGTCACAGAGGATTCCGTTGATTGGCACGAATGTGTCTAGTAGATCTTAAGAGCCTTCAAAGGAGTAAAACCTCTGAAACAATTATAGAATAGAAGGCGTTTTGATTAATATACTTGGGTTTATGCAAACACAGACGCCGCAGTATATTACATAACTCCTTCAATCAATGGGCGTAACTCTCTTTAGAACTACGCAAAGAAAAGCTCCACATACAAGGCACGTACATGTCTCTTTATCGGTAATCCTGAGAGAAAAGCAAGAAAAAAAACGATGCTTACGTATTCGAGTGATTGCACGGATGGCGTAGTGGTTTAAGCGGTCGCCACGCAGTTTACTAGTACGCTGAGTGTTGTGGGTCCGATCCCCACATGGGACGACACTTTGTGTGATCCACAAATTGTCGTTCTGAGTCTGGGTGTTGTTTGTGTCCGTTTCATGTATGTTTGTAAAGTCCCCCGCGACACAGGATATATTCCTAATGCGGGAGTTGTCTTAAAAAAAGGACTAATTTCTATATTTGGTCATTATGACGCAGAAGTCAATAAAATAATGTCAAAAATGGCCTTATTGGCGGTAACAATAAAAATCACCTTGAGAAAATTCTCTCAAGTTAATTGAGCAGTGAATAAAAAGTATTAAATTATTTAGTGTGAATAAAATTTTGGGAAAAATCAGTGGTTAAGGTGCATTCGTAGATATGTAGGTACATAACAGCTTGATAATTTATTATTGTGTTAAAACTATGCTTGAAAAAATGTATTCGACGTTAGCTTTTTACCAAAATCCATCTAAATTTCCTATATTATTGTTTATTATACCTACCATTACGAGTATATAGATATTTACACATTATAGGTACGTCTGCTTCAAAACAAGTTTCTGTTTCGTTTAACGTCGAATCAACAAATGTAAAAATGTTTTTTTTTAAGTAGCAAAAAAAAAATTTAAAAAAACCCTTTTTATCATTTCACCAGTCTACATTTTCATTCACAAATATAGAATAGGGTAAGTTGCTTCTATTTCGCATCAGTTGCAATCGACTTCACTCGGTATTTGAAGCTAAAAATATTCTGATTAAGCGAAATGTTATTCATTTTGTGCCCAAACAACGCGCCCCCGCAAACAGTTCCGTCGTTAGGCACATTCGCACAAATGGTTAACAGTCCGCTTCCTGGCTGAATAACATTGAACCACTTCGGGCGGCGGCCAAGTGCACCTCGAATATTATACCTATGAACACAAATAGAACAAACTTTATTATATTGGTGTGAGGTGATGTTTTATTTAGGGTGTAGATAAGGTGTATTACAGTTCTAATACGTATTCATATTATTAGATACTAGCTGCGCCCCGCGGTATTACTCACGGTTGTTATTGTACCTAGCTTATCCCACGGGAACACTATGTGCTATTCCAGACTATAATCTATGTCTGTGCCAAATTTCATCCAGATCCGTTTAGCCGTTTTTGCGTGACAGAGTAACTATCATCCATACAAACTTTCACCTTTATAATATTAGTACTCGTAAGATTTCAAAATGCATCGTTTGCGAAGCAGTCTATCCGTTACTGTACTTTTTAAGGAATGGCTTTGAACTCCAATAGAAAAACACCTTGTTTTTCGTAATTGCCGAAGTATAAGATGGCATCGTTTTTAGATTATCTTTTCTTCTTCTTGATCTAGATCCTTTAAAAAGCAGTTAAATTGAATCTGCAATCTTGTCACCTACATTGCGTTACATATTTTATTAAATATACTTTTATCTGAATCGCTTTGAAAATATATTATTTGACTATTTATTAGAATTTATATGGTTAAAAGGCGACGCTTTAACATTTTAAACACCACATTTTATAAAATAAACTGCAATTATATGGAAAGCCGGATCATTTACTAATACATATATGTATTATACTCGTATACATGTAAGTACGATCCACGTATCACAATGCGTGCCGTGTCAAAGATCATAAGGCCGAGGTTTTTGTCTTGCGTTCTTGTCAGTAAACATAATGACGATACGTTTTAAAAATACTGTTTTAATTGGCCTTTAAGCCACCTCGGATTTCTAGAAATATCTGAAGTCGTTTACATTCACAATCGGCAAGCATACGTCAATAAAATGAAACAGGTATACAAAAATATGAGAAAAGTAACTTAACTAATAAAATTACATACTTTACACGAAATATAAGTTCATTTCTGCATACGTTGGTTAAACTTTATACTTAAAATCGCTATTGCCTTGTGTCGGCTATTACGCTACTGTTCCTATTTTCCTACCTGAAAATTTACAATTGCATAACTATAATAGAAAACTTATGCTACTATCCTAGATATCTGGTATTATATTTATTAAATTCAAATATTCAAAATATTTAGTAGAGTAAGCTCAATAAGTATAACAATTGTTTAATTCTATATCATTGATAAAGAGTTATTCAAATGTACTTATAAATCGTAGGAAGTGCATAGATTCAAATTGCCATCTAACAGTCGTTGCAATAATTGAAGAGGTGGAGGCCGTAATAGACCGCAGGGGACCATTTGGCCGTATGTTATTCTTACCTATATTTAGACGGCAGTTTGCGAACAGGGATGTTGTGATTTATATAATAGTCCAAAATGACCGACTGCCTCTCCAACCCACGTTCATGAAACATGCACAACATTTGTCTAAGAGTTTAAGTTTTAAGACCGTTGCATATTCTCTCAACCATTTATACGATTTTATTGGTTCATAATTAAGGAACAACGCAAGCTAAAGATAATGAGTTATTCCGTTCTAATCTCGGATTGGATCCCCCGCTAAATTTATTATTATTGTTTTATTCCTAGCTGTATGATTTATAAGTTTTATAACTTTTTAAAGATACATTATTTTTATAAGTGAACTTATAATTATATTGAATAGAAGTCTGGCAATGATAAAATATTTTTTTAAATGAAATAGCAAATTGTGAAATGACTTATTATGAGCATGCATTTAGGTCCTATTTTTATACCGTGTATTTAATCTGGCCATTTTTTGATTTTCAGGTGCTGATATAAAGTCAAAATGACGTGGTTTCGAGCATCATCGTGCTTCCTGGCCCTGTCGTTATTAGTAGCGCCAATCTTAGCATCAGTCTGCCCTGATGGATGCCTCTGCAGTACAACACGAGATGGCCTTCATCGGGCCACCTGTAGCAGTCTCACCGAGTTGTACAAGTTCAGTCTTCGTCAGAAACATCATAATATCAATATCCTGGATCTCTCACATAACAATATTACGAAACTGAACCACGAGCTCGACCGACTAACTGAAGTCGTCACACTGGATCTCTCCACTAATGGCATCCAGACTGTCAACAAATTCTTCCACAATGCTAAGAAATTAGTACATCTTAATCTAGCTAATAACAGGATTCAGAAACTTTCTCTATCACATTTACCTTCCAGTGTTAGCTCATTGGATTTGACTAACAATTTAATGAAGGATGTACCTTCGGATTATGCAGTTTTAACCGGATTGGAACATTTAGAAATGGAAGGCAACCCCCTCGATTGTTCATGTGAAAACTTATTGGCACGGGATCGTTTGCTTCTTGCAAACGTATATATAGATAATGTCAAATGTGTTTCACCTGACAAAGTTAGAGGACGATCGTGGTTAGAGCTAAAATCAAATAACATTTGTAAAACCCATACGCCAGAAAACTTTTTGGATATGATGATGGGAGATCAACCAATAGATGCAGTAGAAATTGGCAAAGAAACTGATGCTTTGAAATCGCTTCCATTAGTAGGAAAAAATGATTTAGAAGATGGTAATGTTATACAAAGCGGTGCTGTTGTAGAGGATGACGATCATCTGCAATTTTTAAATGTCAGACATACTACATCGTCATCACTATTCAATAATATCGAGGGTTCCGGTAGTGGTGATGACGAACATACGACAATGGTAATATTTACTGAACCCAGAATGCAACGTAAAATTAATTCGGAGTTATTAGAATCAGAACAGATGATTAATGCTGATGTTGAACAGACTACAGAAGACCCCAATGAAGGATCGGGTGAGGGATCTGGTTATATTCCGTTTGTTTTTGCACATCACGAAGAAACCACAACTGCAATTTATGAAGAATTTAATCCAGGAGAAGTTCATAGATTGATTACAGATGTTGATAACTTTAGTCCTGAATTTCCTACACCCAAGCTTCCAGTAGTATATCAAGGTGGTCCTCATTGGAATGTAGAGTCTGATCCAGAAATAATTGAAGATTCTTCAGAAAAGCCAGTAGTAACTACGCCATCTTCAACGCCTCGTGATACTACAGTATCACAACAAATTCGAGTCACTCATTCATCTGAAGTACATAGACAACTGACTACAGAAAGTGAAAATCCAGCTCCTCATAAGACGGGTACATACGTTTGTATAGCGATCATTGTTGTGCTATTGGTAGGGTTAATAGGATTTGCTATAGTTAAAGGTCAAATGAGAAAACGGCGAGACAGAAGGTTATTACGTCAACAAAAACGAGATATTGAAAAGGCGTCTAAAGAAATGGTAGATATGAACAAGTCTCTCCTTGGAAAAGCTGCTGGCGGTTTAGAACCTTCTGCAGAAAAGAAAGTCAACGGCAAATATGAATTAGTTCCTACACATGAGTCTCCTCAAAAGAAAAGTGAAAATGGAGACCTTGCTAACAGTGTAAACCATGGTAATAATAATGGTGTGAGAACAGATAGTCCGAGAGATACTAATCAAAATAAGAATAGCTCAAGAGACAATAATTTAGTCGATGATAAACCACAACAACATGAAACTTCGTTTGATACCGAACCTACATCACCCGATTCCAGAAAGGATACCAATTCCTTATCAAGTGAGGATATATTTGTACCTATCAACGATGATGAAAACCCAAAACTGAACGGTACTCGTGATTCCGATGTGTCACAGCCATTAATAAATGGGGACCAAAGTACTGATATCGATTTCTTATCACCGTCTCGTGAATACGTTCCAGTATATTCCCCCGACATGGGAAGAGTTCGTATAAAGATGACAGAAACGCCTAAACCCAAAACACCTGTACTAGTCACCAGAAGTAGATCAAACGCTGGCGACATCATCATAACTCCTACAGACGCTCTCAAGTCTAGCACTTGAAATCCGGTCTCGGTTACGTGGACAATAACACTCCGTGTAAATCAGTGTCAAACAACAAACACTTCACTATTGGCGAAATTCTGTGATTATATTGTGTGCGTAGTTAGGACAAATCTAGTTTGAAGGATTGAAGCCGTTTAAAACGAAAGTGTGTAAGTCTAGAACTTTTGCTGCCAAAGTGTGTTTGTAGTCGACAGTGCCTTTATTATAACTTTGTTAGTGGTATAATATATTTATGGAAATATATTGCGCAATAAGTAATTAAAAATATTTTTATACGTGTAAAAAGTGTTGCCATGTTCATGATAGTTATAAAAGTCTTGTTAGTATACATGATATAAATGGAGAATCTACAATCGTGTCGACCGTCTCATGTTGTTGTACAAACATATATAGTATGTTCGTTCTGTCCATGTTTGGTAGGTTTTAACCTATGTTATGTAATAGTATAATGGGGTACAATTCTTGAATTGTTTTCGATGGTTGTGTACTTACTCTACCATGAGAATATTTATCTAAACTATAAGTATACCAACCTAAATCTGGCTATGTTTAGTTAGTTTTTTTATTCATTTTCTGTGGAGAGATTCATTCTTTCATGGTCTGGCTAAACATAAGTTCCTTTGTAATTTTATTGAATGTAGGAATTAAGAATGTGATACCATTTATTTTTAGTAATTTGATCCATTTTCCGTGTATATACATTAATAAATCAAATTCTTTATTGTATATTTCGTAGATCTTATTTGAATTTATTTTGTAATTAGAAGCTGCTTTTAAATTAATTACTCTGTATCTTTTTGCTTTTACTGACCTTATTTTAATTAATTTTATCAACAGTTTTATGTATCACCAATTTTATGACGATCAGAATAATAATTAATAGATCAGAACAAGAAATAGTTCGGTAAGCAGATATAAATTTAATGTATTTTTATTTTGAACTATTTTACGATATAAATGGTTGAATCAAGTTTTTCTTTGTTTTAATTACCTGTAACCAAGTAGACCGAAAATGTGCTGGGAGATAAATTTCGCCGTTCATCGGTCAATTGTAAGGAAGGTCGTAGAGAAATTCTTAAATGTTAAATAACACTGGTCAATAGTGGTCACATCAACAGTCTTTACTAGTCCACTGCTGGACATAGGCCTCTCCTTAGAAAGGAGGTCTTGGCCTACTATACCACGCTGGCCAGACGGGTTGGTATAGTGTTTGTTTCAAGTTTTCATTCTCTCTGCAGTGCTGTTGACCTGCGTAGTTTGTTCCCTTAGTCGCCTCTTACGACACCCACGGGATGAATAGGGGTGGTGACACTCCGTATTCTTGATCCGTCACCACACGGAATAGTGGTCATGCCACACGAACTATGATGGGGTGGGAATTTTTTGTGTAACCATCAAAGTGAGAACCATAGAGAATTGATTAACGAGCTTCTATTGATATATGAAGCTTTGGGTTGTAATATGTCGCATAACATTCATTTTCTAGACTTACCGCTGAATTTGTTTCCAAGAAAATTTAGAGGCCACAAGTGATGAGCATAGAGAAATGTACCATCAGGACATCAGAAAATTGTAACACTTTTCTTTACTAGCCACATCATGGACATATTTCTAGAGAATCATTTAATATTTTCTTTGTAATTCATTTTTCTTCACCAAAAAAAATTGATACGTGATAGAAAAAAAATGCGACACGTTCACAATACCTGACACATAGTAGAAACATTAAAAAAGTTCGTGTGGCAAAACAATAATGAATTTTTGTTAGCCAGTGTAATTGGTGCAAATCAATAATATTAGGTAACTTCAAAAAAAAAAAACAGTTGCATCGACAACGCAACAGGAAAAAAAATTCACAACTGACTCAAGTGGATTCTTGGAACTGCAAGTTAAATATACTTGAATTAGAGGCGAAGAGAATTATCTATTTAGTTAGTTCTCCATAGTTCTGTAGATAGTTAGTGAATTCTTTCGACCTACTTTTAAGCTACTGTGGTATAAATGTCATTGATATCTACTGAGGTGCCTTTAATAAAAATATATTTCGTAAGTAGTTACCTAGTACAGTTTTATTTTATTAATAAAAAATATTATCATTTATTGCAGCCCATAGTAATTTAGTTTTTTTGACAACAAAATAACAAAATCACTGTAAATTACTCAATAATAAAAATATAATTAAATTGAATTTATAATTTAATTTAAATCAATTTATAATTTAATTTAATCAAACATTTACATAATAATAATATAAACAATAATGTAATTCAATAATAATATGATAGATATTATAGATACAGATATTATACACAACTTGAACCACAGAATTTCTAGTGTGTCTAATTCGATCCATGAAAGAGGCGGCTCTTTTCCACATCTACGCATAGAAATCTTCCACCCTATTCTCGGCGAACATATCAGACACGCTACACTCCGTGGTAGATTGTTGTACTGCACGCGCAGTGCGTTGTAGATGCGCTTAGTGTAGTTCTTTCATAAGTAACAAGTATAGATCGCCTGACAGTACGCCATGAATAGGGTGGTTTAACAGCTTTACAAACATGGGTAGGTTACAAACACGAAACAGATACAAAGAACACCCAGGCTTAGAAGAACAAGTTGTAGATGGATCCAGAAAGTGTTGGCGCTTGTGGGGATCGAACCCACAACCACAACTCAGCGTAGTAGGAAGCGGCGAGGTGAACGCTTATACCACTACGCCATCAGTGCAGTTTTTTTTTCATTATTCACTTACTTTCATCTATCTTTTACTGGATTTGGTCAGGATCAGAAGCGATAGTGCATTGGATTTCTCTTTTTCTAATCAAATCAAATCAAATCAAATCTTTATTTGCCAACCAAGTGTACATCAATGATCTTATAATATTATATGTAGTAGTCCCAACTCAGAAGCCTTCTTCAGGCATTGCAAAAATTTGAGAGAGAACGCAGAAGAATAAATTGTTACACAAGTACAAGCATTTTTTGAACAATACAAATTAAGTGACTTAATAGTACAGTATAACAATCAAATAAAGCATGCAAAAATACGAAGGCACCCGACATTCTACATCACTAATACATATACACATTTTCCTACTGTCCCTAGCATTTCCGAGCATCACGACCGATTTTTCTTTTTATGATTTGTACTTAGGTATATGCTTTCTGTTTTCCGTGTAATAAGAAATGTAGTTTGTTAAGTGTTTTTTTCCTCAATGTATTCTTTAACAGAATAGAAACATTTTGTAATTAAGAATACTTTTAGTTTTTTAATGAATAGTGTAGTCTTCGTTTCATTTTTTATGTGGATAGGTAATTTGTTGTATATTTTTACAGCCATGTAGTAAGGGCTCTGGTGTAGCATTTTAATTCTTGATGGTGGTAGGTATAGTCTGTCTCTGTGGCGTGTGTTTAAATTGTGATTGTCTTTTACTCTCGCGAAGTGACTCATGTTCTTGGATACAAATATGCAGATGTCAAATATGTATAATGATGGTAGTGTGAGGTGATGAGCACTAAGGAGCAGCCGCAGAGAACGATTGCTAAATGATCACTAAAGTGGATGAACGCCACAGAGTACGATTATATATTGATTATATTCATCATCATCATCATCAACAGCCTTGAATAGTCCACTGTCGGACATAGGCCTCTCCTTGGAAAGGAGATTTTGGCCTACTATACCACGCTGGACAGACGGGTTGGTATAGGGTTTGTTTCAAGTTCGCCCTCCGCCCGAAGACGTGCGCGAGTGGCGCGAAGCCGCTCGCCGAGCCACGATGGCTCGTTGGTCGTTCCGGCTGAAGACTCCACGCGCTGGCTTCGCCGCCGTGGAGGCTCTCCAGCCGGTCATCGCCGAGTGGGCAGGGCGGCAGCACGGGACCCTTACCTTCCGGCTGATGCAGGTGCTTTCCGGGCACGGTTGCTTCGGAAAGTACCTGCACTCGGTCGCTAGGAGGGAACTGAGTCCCGCCTGCCACCACTGCGACTGCAGTGAGGACTCGGCCCAGCACACGCTGGCGGTCTGCCCCGCATGGGCGACGCAGCGCCGGGCCCTCACTGCAGTCATCGGAGTGGATCTCTCGCTACCGGCCGTAGTACGCTCCGTGGCCGGTAGCGACAGTTGTTTTACCGCGGTCGCAACCTTCTGCGAGGAAGTAATCTCGCAGAAGGAGGCAGCGGAGAAGGCCCGGGAGGACGACCTCCACTTGGACCCGATCCGCCGCCGGCGAACCGGGCGGCGGAGGCGCGCCTATCACCGCCTCATGCCGCCCTGAGTGTGGGCGCGGGTGGACGGGGTGGGTTTCCCCTCCACCCGCATTAGTTTGGCCAGCCGCGAGGGGGCGGCGTCCGCGTGTGCCGGACGTCGCCTAAAGAGAGGAAAAGAAAAAAAATTTTTGAGACGGAGCCCGCAACAGGAGCGGTCCGGCGCTAGGAGGGGTCCGGATGTCTTAATAACAGCTGTTCCCGGATCCCTCCTATTACAGGCGCAGAGTGGCACATCGTGTGGTTTTAGTCGGTCTGAGTCCGACACACCACCCCGCCGCAAACCCCGGTGGGGTGACGGTCCGAGGGGATTTCCACACGTAAAAAAAATAAAAAATAAAAAGGGTTTGTTTCAAGTTTTCCTTCTCTTTGCAGTGCTGTTGTTCTGCGTAGTTTGTTACCTTAGTCGGCTGTTACGACACCCACGGAATGAATTGGGGTGGTGACACTTTGTATTCTTAATCCGTCACCACACGGACTAAAGTCATTGATTATATTATTAAAAGTATTTTAAAATATATACGAAATACTTAAAGTTTAAGTTTCGTGTAAACTAGTTGCGTTGCAGTTTTGTCACACATAACATAAACAGCCTATACTAGTCCACTGCTGGACATAGGCCTCTCCTTAGAAAGGAGGTTTTGGCCTACTATGCAGTTTTGTAACGTAGGCAAATAGCGCCTCTACAGTCGTATTTGTAATATATTTAAATAGATTTGCAAAGTAAAGGTAATGTTGGCATGACTTTTTATTATGCCAATACAAAAAATACGCTTTAAAAAAAAAAAAAGAGAATGAATATTTAAAAAATAAAACAGAAACATGTTAACAAAATATTGTAATAACATACATAAATGTTCGAACAAATATCTATAATAGTTGTAACAGAATTGAGGTTTCAATTTATGTGTTTTCTGATTGATACAATAGTTTTATATGTAGTCTTTCATTCGGCCTACACAGTGTACAGTAGTGACAATCTGCATTAGGTTGTTGAATTTTATTTTAATTTTCTTATTAGATGTTGTGAAATTAGTAATTTCTTGTAATATTAGTAACTTCTAATATAACATATGGATCAGCTACATTATTTTTGCATTACTTACACTACTTCATTGTAAGTATTTTCACTAACATGAATCATGTTAACTTCTGTTTGTTAGTGTTATGAAATACAGATGGCGCTAATTACAGTTTACACCACGATAGCTGTTTAAAAATGTTGTACATCCTGAAAGTTTTAGGCCCGTATTTTAAAAGGTGTCTCAGTCGTGAATCTAGTCTTAAAACTAATTTTAAGTGGGGATTTTATTATTGAACGTTACTCAAGTGAGTGATAGCTTATTTTAGAACGATGTTTATGTCAAAATCTTTACTCAGGTATAGTTTTTGACAGCTGTGATCTTTGTTTACGTGAGACAAGCTGAAAATAGTCTCAAGCGGTGATTTCTAGGGCATTTCAGGGGAAATGAATGTGTTTAACGATGATTTGTTTCTGAATAATAATGAAAGATTGACTTTACTTTATTTCCAAAAGAGTTACTTGTTATCAATTAACTTTAATTTACCTTAATTGATATTCAATCCACTGAAATTCATATTTTACACACACAATACTTGTTTAAATTAAAATCACCACCACCTTTTGGTTTATGTTAAAAGTATAATATTATTCTAGTACATAATATAAATTTTAGAAATATAAAAAAAAACATTGTTTGACATTTCTACATGATAAATAACTTGAACGTTCCTTTATAGCCTATATCTAGTTTTTCCTCTGTTTTCACAGCTCTGACTGTCCATCTAGACATATCAATGTCTAAGGGTGAATCAGGACTTTCTTGCACGAATGATATTTGCTTACATTACGACTTCATTTATACATACACACGATTTCATACTGACATTGGCTATAATTATAATCGTGAATTTTATTGAAAACTTTTAAAGAAAGAATTGATTCCGCTGATATTGGAAAGTTTTTTTGCGTCGCTTCATACAGTGTTACTTACTATAGTGCTACCGCCTGTGTGATTCTCATGTTTAATATAGCATACCATGGTGATTTGCATTTGGATTGAAAAATTAAACAGGTACATCAACATAAATATTTTTATTCTTATAGAAACTTAACTATTAAGGTACCATAAGGTGTTTTTTAAAATAAACAAACTTAAAAAGAATATATTATAAATAATTTCTATTAAAGGTCACTCTCTCTAAGTTCATTGTCATCGATAGAATGCCTTCGTGTATTATTACGTACAGGTCTCTCAAGTTGTGCTTCAACTTGTACAGTTACGCTGCCATTCATTTGTGGTGAATAATTTGCGTTATATCCAGATAATTGCCTACGTCGTGCACCAGGAGATTGCTCTAACTCTGCTACCTCATGGCTACCGTATCTATTCAGTTCTCTACGTCGCCTTTGACGATTCCCATCAGAAGTTTCGGCAAGTTCTACATCGTCTAAAACGGGTAAGTCTCCATTTCTTTCTGTTTCCTCCAATAAATCTCCACTTGACTTAGTTTTCCTACGACCCCTCCTTCTCTTTGTTTTACCCGTGCCAGATTCATTTAAAGAACGACTGGATGAAGACAGCTTGGGCATTGAGAGAGCATCATCGTAAGAGGGCGGTGGGATAAGATCACGTGGATCAGGTGTACTAATTAAGGCTTCTTGTTCTGCTTGAATCCTCAATTGTCTAAGCCTGTCTCGTGCTTCTTCAACTTGTCTTTCTCTTTCAGCCTGGATCGCTAGTAAACGACGTTTCATGGATCTCTTTACACAGCTTACTAATAATAGACATATAGCTAATCCTGCGATCATGATAATTATAAACAGTATCAGGCCATCAGGATTGGCTGCTTTTTCAGTAGGGTTCCAGACAAAATAACAGGCCTGTAGCCATGATTGCCCAAATAAATTCATGGGGCTATTGCAAACAAGGTTATAAGATTCCTCCTTCTTGTTAGGTTCCAAAGTTACAAACTCAAAAAAGTCAACCATGTTCGGGTCTGCACAGTCACATCTCCACATATTATCTGCTAAATCAAGCCGCTCCAGGTAACGGTTCGATTCGAAAAATGACCTTTTCCATATAGTAGTAAACCTGTTTCCAATCACACTTAAACCAACTAATCGTGGTAACATGAAAAATGTGTAGTTATTTATAAAACTTATTCTATTGTAGTTTAAGTTCAAGTATTTTAAGGTGTTCGAAGATAAACTATCTGGAATATGTGACAGAAGGTTTCTCGATAAATCTAAATCAATAAGGCTCTGTAGACCTTCTAGCGAACCTTTTCCAATATTGCTTATTTCACAGAAACTCAAGTCTAGGACAGTCAACGACAATGATCTCAAATGACCAACACTAGTTAGAAAATTACGGGCAAGTTTCAACTGAGTTAGTGACGGCATTTCTAGTAGTGTGTCTTCAGGTATATTGGCAAGTTCATTCCACGATAAATCTAAATGTTTGATCAAACTCAATCCTCGGAATGTGTCACTTCTGAGAGATCCTATGTTGTTGTATGAAATATCTAAATATTCCAATCTAGTATTGTTTAAAAATTCATTACTTCTCAGAAACCTGATCATGTTATGATTGAGTATAGCCTTTCGGAGATTAGGAAAACCTTGTAAGTTAGGTTGCATAATATTGCAGAATGATATGTCTAAATACTTTAATGAGTCTGAAAATAAATGATAAGCAGAAGAAGATAACTCCAGTCGATAGTTATGAGACATTATCAAACGTATTAACGATGGTAAAAACATAAATTCGTTGTGATTGATCGTACTAAGAGCGCAGTTGCTAACCTCGAGACTTCTCAGTGTAGCTGACATAAGGCTTTTAATTCTTAAAAGAGGATTAAAGTTTAATTTCAGTTCTTTAATGTTTGTAAGACCTGCTAAGGGTGATCTGCCATGTATTGAAATAATTTCACAATGTTCCAGTATCAATGTTTCAATTGATCCACTCGTAAGTAATTCCTGATTGGCTAAATTTCCCATAGTTCTAAATCTGTTATGAGACAAATCCAGTATTTTTAAATTCGTTGCTAATTTGAAAGCATTATTAGGATTTAAACTGAGCCATGATTCAAAATTATTTTTTGACAAATTCAGTAATTCCAGTGCTGTAAGATTTTGGAGTGCGTTTCCCGGCAATTCACTTAATCGATTCGCACTTATGTCTAAAGTGACCAAATTTGCAAATGTAGACAACTTTTCAGGGAAAACCGAGAAATCATTATTTGAAATGTTCAAGTTCCGCACCTGTAAATCGAAACAAAAAGTGTTAAAGCATTGTCATATTTTTCATTTTAGGACTTGGCAACTTCGGCTAATTTTGACACGATAAAGTCGACAATTAACTTAAGACATTTATAAGAAAAAATATAAGTCCTAAATGCAGGCCTAAGTTAAAAGATCATTAAAATTAAATGCCATTTCTCTAACGAATAAAACCGGACAAGTGCGAGTCGGACTCGCCCACCGAGGGTTCCATACAAATTTGAAATTGAAAACTATACAGCATTGAAATAATTAGAAATCTGTTTAAGCTTGTGCCAATAAAGCCCTTTCATACGATTCCCCACATGACACTGTTAACTCAATTCAAAATTTGGACCGCCGTTCCTTGCATAAAGACCCTGTTTTTGTATGATTTAATTACAAATGTATGGTTTCAGATTTTTCCCTATACTTGAAGTAATAAGATGAAATTACTTGCTAAATGTCATACTTCTAGGTCAACGGAAATACTCTATAAATTTTGATTCCCTTGAGAGTGTCGAAATATTAGGTCTTTACCTATGAAATTGCCGTTTTGTATGCAATAAGTGAAAGTACTTATTTTTTCAATTTTTTTTATTTCTGTTATTCGAAGTAATCACCCATGCAATCGACGCATTTTTGCCAACGCATTGGCAGTTTATTGATGCCCTTCTTGTAAAAATCAGTTGGACAGGAGGCAACAAACTCTTCAAAGGCATTTTGTACTGCCTCTCGGGAATTGAATTTTTTACCCACTAAAAGTTGTCTAAATTTTGAAAAAAGTAATAGTCGGTAGGAGCAAGGTCTGGTGCCAAGTGATTACTTCGAATAACAGAAATAAAAAAGTTTGAAAAAATAAGTACTTTCACTTATTGCATACAAAACGGCAATTTCATAGGTAAAGACCTATTATATGTTTTTTTGCGGCATAAACGACCGTACTTTTTTACGTTAACTTAGATTGATTGATAGACTTGATTTTTTTACAGCTTCAAGAGACTACACCTGAGTATATCATTTAAATTTCAACTCGAAACCTCCATGCGTTCTCGGGAACGCATGGAGGTTTCGAGTCGAGAGTTTCGATAAAGGGTCTTGACAGACAGACGGACGGACGGACGGACGTATACGATATAAGGGTTCCGGTTTTTCCTTTTGAGGTACGGAACCTTAAAAAGATAAGAAAAGGACAAAACTGCTACTTGAAATCAAATACCATTTTCTTGTTTTTGAAATAACATTTATCATATTTACCTGGCTGCTGGATCCATTTGGCAGTTCACTAAGACCTCTTCCTGAGCAGTTGATGTTTGTTTTATCTATGCTACATGTACACACGTAACAAAGGTCATTGAGGTCTTGTTCAAAATCTGCGATCTCCCCTAGCGCTACTTTGGTCGCGAACAGAAAACATATTGCTGTGAGTAATCGAACCATCACGTCTCGCTCGCATTACGGCCTGAAAACAGTGAATAAAAATAAAAATAATCTTAAATGATAATATAATGGGAGCATGCGAATTAAAGGCAAAACTGCAAAAAAAAACTATAGGTTCAAAAAAAAACGCTTTTTTTAGATAAAATGTTTTTTTTTTTTAAATTTTCACAACAATTAAGATCTATCTTAATTGTTGTAAAAATATTTTAGTGTCAGATATTTGTAAAAGTAAAGTTATTAAGTTATTTAATACCTTGAAATGACCACGCTTTTTTTATGATAAAATTATTTTTGTTTTTTAACTTATAGAAAATTATTTCCTACTTTTTAGTTGAGCTAGCTACAAAGGCGTGTTGTTTTTTTGTTTTTTGAACTATAATTAATTTGTCCTTTTTTAGTTGTTAACGATGATTATTATCTTATTAAGACTGAAAAGTAACAGCACACGCCTTAGTACGCGGAAAAAGACACTACCGTATTTTTAGGTATGGAAAAAACGTTAATGCTGAAGGTCCTGATCAGGATAATGGGACAAACTACTCGTATTTAAATTATGTCTGCATTGTCATCGGTCCTTGACAAGTGTGCAAAGTTTCGATTTGATTCAAAGTTTCTTTTCAAGTAGGTCAAAATTGTATATAAATAGATACATACATACCAAGCTAATAAAAAAATAAGCAAAACAATCCCTTACGGGATAGATATTGGAAACTAAGGGTTTGAAACTGGTTTCCAAAACAGGATTAATTCTATTTAACTGTTAACCAAATCAGAAAGTAACCACTGCTCGCAATAAATATTTAAAAAATCAATTCATTAAAGATTTAATAATCAACACTTAATCTATCATTACTGATCGTGGGACGACTTCTTGTCATTGTACTTAAGAAACTTGTAAGTCACCAGGAAATTATTTCTACTCAAGGATTGTAGATTGGAAAACATTTAAAAGAAGATCCTACATTCTGTGTTGGTAACTAGTTTCTAAAACAGAATTATTTTTCTTTATTTTAAATCAGATTTTGATAAAAGAGAAATAATTCTGTTTTGGAAACTGGTTTCATACCATTAGTTTCCAATATCACCGAAGGGAAAAAAGAGCTTTAAGGCTTATTGTCTCACAAACGGACAACTTAATTAAAATATTGTCTTCGCAAGCCCTTTTTAACCGACTTCAAAAAGGAGGAGGTTCTCAATTCGATTGGTTTTTTTTTATTATTCCTAACAGACCTATCAAATGACACCCCACATCATGGGATGGATAAATATAAACAATCACATCCCCACTGTAAAGGTACTATAGGTACCCCAAAAAATATTTCTTATTTTATATTAATATAAAATATTTAAGATTTTATTTTACCACTTTGTCGGGGCGATTAGTAGTCATTGTATAGTATAGTTCGGTCAATTTAGACATTCGAAGTTACATAAGGTCCCAACAAGCTGAATTTCTGTGAAGTTGTTCAAAACATAATTATAAACAATGTCTAGAAGTTCCCCATCATTCCCCTGTAAGGAAAAAATTTAATTCAAGGTCAAAGGTCAAAAAATGAGTTTTTCGCGATTTTCAGCAAAACGGTAAGTTTTATCATAAAAGTACCTCAGACAAAAATTGTAGATCATAAAATTATCTATAAAAAATGTATCATTACTTTTTTTCTTACGAGCCACCTTTTCTGAGATATAACGATTCAAAAAGTTATAAAAGTTGTTATCGTCATAATATGCACACGTTTCCACGCCACCTATGAGGTAGTGTACTTAGCGCGTTTTTTTTAACGTGGTTTCCCCAGCATTATTTCCCCATATCATTTCATCTATCATTCATTATCTGCAACGTATTGAATAAGAGTGCCACTTTCTGGTGGTAGGACATGAGGAGGACGATGGAAAACTGCTGCTGCCTCGTACATTATTGTATCATTATAAGAAGCACATAAACCAAAAGCCGAAAAGATTTGTATAAGACGTTTAGACCCGAACCTTCGATGAAAAAAAACTGTGAGGCCTAATTGTAATTTAGATTTAAAAGACCTTGGTCGAACAGCAGTCATGATACAATGGCAAATATTTGTGCATATTAATTTTAAATTATCTAAATTTGATCGTTTATTTTTTTAAATCACTCGTTCCACAAGATATGTGAATAATTCTGGGATTTTATTATTTAAATCTTCAAACATGCGACTTGGTGGAGGGTAGTTAGAATTATCAAATACTGCGGTTTGAATATCTTCGCGAATAATAGCTGCAGCTGCGTCTAGGACTCTCAATCGTTCTTCTGTTTTATTCTTTTTTTTTTCGTACCAGGCTTGATTCAAAATATCATGATGATTATCCACTAAGCATATGAATGTTCATGCTCCCGATTTCTCAGTGATAATAAGTTTATCACCATATTTTACTTTTAGTCGTAGCTTAATCGTTCTGTTATGTAGAGTCGTAGTTTTGCAAACCTTTTGTAATTCGTTCAAAGTGAACTGACAGTCATCGCTATTTTCAATGTAAGTAAATATTTCCTCCATTGCCAAATTCGTAGCTTCGTCTTTAGGACGACCCATTTTAGCTCCAGTGGAAGGTTTTAAAAAATTAGCATAGCAATCTCGATGATACTTAGCTTCAGCAGCAACTAAATCATATTCAAATTCGACTCGAGCAAGAACAGCTTTTGCTAAAGCATCGTCACGAGTCCGAGCTGTTTCCAGAATTGAATCTTTAAATTGAAGTGTACTTACTTGGCTGATTCGACGCCGAAAATCTGAGGATTTTCTTCTTTCACTCTCTTCATTTAATTTCTCGCCACAAAATAAGCATAGTTCTTTGAAACAAAAAGCCGATTCACTGATACGTGATCTAGTACGAGGAGGACTTGCTGTGGATGTACTGGCTTCTTGTTCTTCACGTTGTATTTTATTAGCTGCAGCAATAGAAGACTTTCGAGTATAATTTTTACGGCAATTTTCATGTATTGTCACAGATTTCTGATTTTTGAGATATTCCGAAAAATCATCAGCTCTTTCGATACTTGCATTAATTAATGTCTTCATACCACGTTCAACAGTAACAACTTCACTTTCAGTTAAAAGTTTAGCACAAATAAAACAATATTCAGACATTTTTAATATAAAACTCAAAACAGCACAATATAGGTTTGGACAAACACGTGTTTTCACTACAGAGTGACGCTCAAGACTAACAGTATTTCATTTATTATAGCAGGTATAAGACCCTAGCCACGCACACTGGCTTAAAGATTAAGGGACTGGGTTTCATTTTACCTGATATTCTTGTAGTTAAAACTTATGTATATTTTATATTGTAAGTATAAGTTACAATGACCGATAGAAAAATATTTAAACATTTAATATAAAATATATATATACATACATATATATATTATATAAAATATTACAACTCTAGATGTATATACGTGGCGTACTCATGCATATTATGACGATAACAACTTTTATAACTTTTTGAATCGTTATATCTCAGAAAAGGTGGCTCGTAAGAAAAAAAGTATTGATACATTTTTAATAGATAAGTTTATGATCTACAATTTTTGTCTGAGGTACTTTTATGATAAAACTTACCGTTTTGCTGAAAATCGGGAAAAAATCATTTTTTTGACCTTTGACCTTGAATTAATTTTTTTCCTTACAGGGAAATGATGGGGAACTTCTAGACATTGTTTATAATTATGTTTTGAACAACTTCACAGAAATTCAGCTTGTTAGGACTTTATGTAACTTCACTCTCATTTTTTGGTCTAAATTGACCGGACTAGTATGTTCATGCGAAGTTACAGATTTTCAGCTCTAAAAGTTTGCGAGATATTATGTGGACAGACGGACGGACGGATCGTCATGCAGCATAATAACCTCATGTTTAGTAGCAGCAAAATACTGCAGAATTCTTAACTTTAGTGAAATTAAAACAAAATTATAATAGGTCTTTACCTATGAAATTGCCGTTTTGTATGCAATAAGTGAAAGTACTTATTTATTCAAACTTTTTTATTTCTGTTATTCGAAGTAATCACCCCTCCTATCGACGCATCTTTGCCAACGCATTGGCAGTTTATTGATGCCCTTCTTGTAAAAATCAGCTGGACGGGAGGCAACAAACTCTTCAAAGGCATTTTGTACTGCCTCTCGGGAATTGAATTTTTTACCCACTAAAAAGTTGTCTAAATTTTGGAAAAAGTATTAGTCGGTAGGTGCAACAGAAATAAAAAAGTTAGAAGAAATAAGTACTTTCACTTATTGCATACAAAACTTCAATTTCATAGGTAAAGACCTAATATAAAAAATGTCAATGATATTAGTTTCGTCGAATAAGGATTTTGTATGTCAATACAATTAAGATTAGTCTTGTTTTAACCAGCGGAATTATAATAAGAATAAATACATAATCAGATTTTTGAATACCTAATATTTAATGAGCCTATTGCATAATTTCATTGATTAGATAACCTTTTATAATTTTAATTATATTAGCCCGAAAATCGCTGCCATGTTTAGATATAAAAATCAATTTATAAAATACAACTATTAGTAAGTGTGTTTATTTTATTGGTTTATTATGTATACCTATTAGATAAATTAATAATAACTTGAAATGAAATGCTGAAATGATATTTATTTCTGTAGGTAAATCTTTTCAGATATTTTTAAAAGTCTGACTTTACAGCTAGATGGAGCCGGCAATGCCGGCTCCATCTAGCATTACAGCACACTATTTAAGTGTATGTGCACATAAGAGAAGTTACACATAGGACATTCTTGCCATGTCGACCAGTTCACCATAGTGATAAGCATATTGAGTGCCTGTCACAATTAAGGCATAGATAACGTTATGTAAAAATCACGTGGAACAGTGAAATACCATTTGCGTGTTTGATAAACACACTTTTATATATATTATGTATACTAGCAATCCGGCCCGGCTTTGCACGGGTGCAATGTAGATACTACAAATGAGGTGTCAGTGTGGAGTAATTAATTTCACTATTATTATGATAGAAATATACTACAGAACATCTTTAAATGCAATATTTATAGGTCCTTGCCGAATCTGCCGGCCGCTGCCACCCAGGAAGGGTACGGCTTGATGATCTTTGGGCCCCGCATTTTAATATTTTCTAAAATATTTATGTTGAATGCACAACGTATCTAACGTATTTAATTAAATGAGGAATAATAGCGTATTGTTTAAAATGGCTTCGTAAATAATCCATTATATTTTTTTGTAATATATAAAAATTTACATTATATATCTTTAGGAGATACACATATACCATTGCAAACTTTTTGTAGATGTTTTAAGATATACAATTTCGTAGTAGATTATTTTGGTCTATCTCGTAAGGTTTTCCCAGTGTTTGCAATGTAAGCGCACAAAAACATGTTTTTAAGGACAAATCTTTAAAATTATCGGATTTTATCTACTATAATAAGCATGTATTATACAAATAAACCTTCCTCTTGAATCACTCTCTATCGGTAAGTACCGCTTTAAAAGATCTAAGCGTACAACACAAAAAAACGACATTATTTTATACTATGTAAAGATGTAGGTATATCATATATTGTATATAAATATTCCTATTGCAAATTGTGTGGTATGGCGAGGAATGAAAACATTAAAAGGAGTCTAGCGTCGGTAAATGAAAAGTTGCGCAGTAGTCGGTTGGTTATCCTGGTATACAAAAGAAGGGAGATGATACAAATAAGTTTTATGTATCAAAGTTAACGGGTACAAAAGTAGGCGACGAAACAACGAAGCTGAATGGTCTTCGGAATAGAGGATATTGCTAGCAAACAAGCAGTGAGCTGACGAATGATAGATGAGGATGGAAGAGGAAAACTCTTTGCACCGACCTCAAGAATACTTATAAAAAGGGATGAGGATATACGTCTTATAAATTCGTTCGTTGTAGGGGCAAATAATCACCAAGCCTTGGAAAAAAAAATTAAAGAGGACCTATAAAAGCTATTTTATTTATCTAATTAAATTGTATAACAAAAAGATACATCCAATTTGCCGCTATCTCTATTCACAAAAGCAGGAAAATTGATTCACCGACAAACTCGGTGACTTAAAGTTCTGGTCACTCAGGTAAACCTATCAAATATCTAACGGTATGCACTAAAACAGATTAAAAAGAACAATTCGTACCATGAATACCGGTGTATTAGTACGTACTACAATTTTATCTTTGTTATCAGCAATTGATAAAACAGTAGGATACTATAATTTGGGTCGTGAGGTTTTTGTAACTAAAGTATGTTTTTCAGAAGGCTTCGTTCAATCATTTCAATAGTTGGTTACAAGTGTCATGTTGGTTGAAATAGGGGTAGATTTTTATAAATTTGTAGATTAAATATGTTGAAAGTAGGCTTTGATTACTTTAATTTATTTAGCCAACTAATCATTTACAGGAATAGTAAATAACTATTAGTGTTTGACTATGTAAACAAAGTAGTCAGTGATTGCCCTTATTTCCAGGTACGATGACAAATACACTTAGGAATGAATAACTTCATTGGTAAGTATATTGCTATCCGCGACATCAATAAAGTATACTACATTAATTAAAAATCAAGACAAAAAACATAAAAATTGATTTAAAAATATATATAGGTACTTAAATTCTATATTTACCTATATATTACATAAAAATAAAATTTTTATCAAAATCTATTTAGCAATTAGGGCGTGCCCGAATAACAAGTAATCGATTTATACCGACTTCCACAATTATTATTAGATAATTATACGATAAGGCAAATATTAAGTTAAGGTTGAAGATGTAACGAATATGAAAACAAAATATTTATATAACTACCTGTGAAGTGGTCCAATGCCGGCTCACTGTTATATTTATCTTCCAACTTGTACTTCCAATGTATTTTATATTATTTTCTATAATATATACTCATTGAACATGATGTTTTCACTTATCACTAAATTCACAAAAGTAAAATTGGCCCTCAAAACAATTTTCATTAAGACGTGTTGTCCCCACAATGTGATATCATTGTGTGAGTCAAACTGTGACGTGTTATCAATGATAAGGATTGCAAAAGTGTGCATAGGGGCGCGATAATCTGGACTTAAATGTCTCGGGATTTCAGACTGGATTATGTAATTTGAACGCAGTATTTATTTTAGTTGTTAGCAATCTGTAATAGGTACAGAATATGTTCTTGGATAAGAATAGTATACAATCTAACCTTGTAGTGCTATAATATGTCTGTGTTACTGTTTTATAAATTAGTGGCCTCCGTGATACGCCTAATAATTTTTTGATCACCATGAAGACGCCTTAACCCAATGTCACTATATACAAACACATTAATACTTATATGTTACGTTACGAGAGACCTGCACCTGCGTCAGCACTGTTATCAAGGTGCTACTGATGTAATAAAAATTCTTAATTTCTGTTTTTTACCAACTTCAAAAAAGTGAATGTTTTGACTGAATATTTTTTTACGAGTATATTCCAGTCCAATTTAAATTATAAGAAATTATTTCATCTCAAGAATTATAAAGGACTGAAGCTATTTACGATTTCTCACAATTTAAGCGCATTGAAATCGGTGATAATTTTGGATAATGGTTAAATTGAAACTATGAACAAATTATCGGCTCCGGTATTTCTGGACCGATACGACCTTCAAACTTTAAAAAAAAAGAGCGTCCTCCTTCCTCGAAGGCCAGCAAGGCGCTTGTGAGTCCTGAGCTGCAGGCATTTCATGGGCGGCGGTAGTCAGTTTCCATCAGGTAACCAGTCTGCTCGTTTGGCCCTCTATCATAAAAATATATATATACTTACATAGTGAAGTAAAATACACCTATAGGGAAATTTTGAACTGTGGAAGCATTTCACGCAACATATTACCGAAATAACTTTTTCCAATAAGGGTTGATGGTTGGAACTTCTGGACTCAGGAGTCACAAACGCGTTGCCGGCCTTTTAGGAAGAAGTACGCTCATTGAGACAAACGGGAATTGAAAAATCTAAAGTTAGTGTAGGCTTTGGTTGGTTTCTCAAATGCATTCAACGCTGTAAGTCACAATATCTTTTTATCAACGTTGGCATGAACCAACTTGAGGAGGCTTCATCGACGCGGACAGGTTCATACTTTACTGTGGTGTCCCTCAAGGTGGCATTATCTCTCCTTTATTATTCTCAATATGCGTGCCATTTTTAAGCCGATGACTTGCAACTCCATTGCCTTTCGTTCTCCAATTCACACTCTCCATACCTGGAACTGGCTGGCTGTGAACTGGCTCACAATTCCTCAGCGCCGATAGCTGCGCGCCCCTCTGTTCCATTCTCAACTCACCTATTTCTCCTTCCTCCTTGAAATCCTCATTCTAATTTCTATGTTCCAATCACAATAGAACCCTCTGTTCCTCAAACAATCCACTCTGTTTTGCCCACTCATACTTCTACAATCTGTCCACCTCTGGAACGAATTAGGATAACACCCAGGCGGACAAAAGTCTAAACTCGCATTTTAGACATCCTAGCAGATTCATCACATCCGTCAAGTTTTATATATCTTTCTGTACATATGTATTTATGTAACTCAGCAAGTATTTATGTATATACTCGTATGTGTATTTCGGTATGCCTATATATCCGCCCCACTGTTTCTGTCCATCTCTTCAATTATTTTTAAACTTAATTTCTAGTGCACCTACTCAGACATTTCTCCACCTGCACAAAGGTAGACTGGGAGAAAATGCCTGTTTCATCAAGTACGAAATCAGTTTTTCAATGCCTGATTTTTCGACCAGGTTACACAGACCCTGGTCACAATTGTGCTCCGCCTATTAACCTTCGACTATGATTGCGTCAGGTCGCGAACTATATAATTTATATCATAGCACATAAAATTTAAAATGTTGATTAACTTGGTAAGTACCTACGTGAAATTTAGAACTTGTTATTTTAGAGTTCAGATTATTCCTAAAAGAATTGACTTAACAGAAGATAATTAAGTATAAATGCAAACGAATTTAACTAACAATACTACAACGAAAGTTTACACTATGAAATTGCCGTTTTGTATGCAATAAGTGAAAGTACTTATTTTTTCAAACTTTTTTATTTCTGTTATTCGAAGTAATCACCCATGCAATCGACGCATCTTTGCCAACGATCTGGTGTCACATCTGCAACCAGCTTTGGTCAATCGGTCGTCCCCACTGCTCCTTCACGACAACGCGCGACCTCATACTGCGCAACAGACAGTCTCCAAGCTGCAAGAGCTGGTGTTGGAAGCTCTCCCTCATCCGCCATACTCACCAGACCTTGCACCTACCGACTATTACTTTTTCCAAAATTTAGACAACTTTTTAGTGGGTAAAAAATTCAATTCCCGAGAGGCAGTACAAAATGCCTTTGAAGAGTTTGTTGCCTCCCGTCCAGCTGATTTTTACAAGAAGGGCATCAATAAACTGCCAATGCATTGGCAAAGATGCGTTGATTGCATGGGTGATTACTTCGAATAACAGAAATAAAAAAGTTTGAAAAAATAAGTACTTACTTTCACTTATTGCATACAAAACGGCAATTTCATAGGTAAAGACCTAATAGTAATAATGTACAGATATGTAAGGTGGTTGTTTTTTGTTTTGGTTGAATGCATAAATTAATTAATTCTCCTAATACATAAGTCTACATAGTAAGTAAAAAAATCAAAAACCCGACTGTAATAACTTTTTTTTAAATAAAAATATGCTCATGATATAAATCCTCCTGATTTAAATCCTCATGATTAGGCCTTTAAATTGATACACCGATTGCAGTTTCCAAATATATTTTTTTACTTTAAACTATAGCGTCCCACAGTAGTCATGTTAGTTTTTTTCTTCGCGTCACCTATCTGAGAACACTTGGGTTACCATGACGAATCTAACGATAGGTATGTTAATTAAATAAACCCAATTTGGAAGATATGAGGTAATGAAGAATGTTACAAGATAGGCGCGAAAAACATAACCCTTCCTTGGCAGTCGAGTAAAAACTGCTTTGATATTTTTGGTGTGCTTGTTGCGACATCTATGAAGTACGTGTCGAACTGTTGAAGTATGACGCATTCTATTAGATGTCTTTGATGCCTTTTTTGTGTGTAAATACTGGCAGTCCACAAAAGATGTCAGTAGTAGTAACTTTTTGCACGTATTCTATTTGTGTGTACACATTTTTACTTAATATACCTATTATGTATTTGACTGGTCTGTTGGCTTAGTAGAGGCCAGATGTCGTGGTTTCGATTCCCACCCAAGACAAATATTTGTGAGATGATCACGATCATTTGTTCTGTGGGTGTAGTTTATCTATGATATTATGTATTTAGACATATATATTACAGCAGTTTGTTACAATAGTAGAGTCTCTGCCTGGTCTGAAAACCAGACGGCTGTGTATGACTTGTGTCGTTATTATTAATGGGCCACCAAATTATTTTTTTAATTTTTCATTTGTCTGCTTGTGTGTTAACTTGCTATAACTCCGAAGTTACTGTACCGATTTGTACAGAATTTTCACTTTCAGATAGCTAATATTAGGGGTTAAAGTTTGAAATTTCCGATTTGTACAAAAAAATTGAAACTTCTTTTTTTTTATGCCTTTACGATACGAACACTCTTTACGATTATCGTGTGAAAAAAGCTTCACACGAGAATCTCCCACCATGAAGGTTTTATGTCAAAGCAAAGGATCTTAAGAATGAAAGGATATTATTAAAGGAAAAATCTTAGATTACTTTTGTAAGAAAAATAAAAAACGTTACATTTTTTAATTTTTTTTTTGTGTACCGCCTTACCTTATTAGCAAATACCTATGCATAACGTTCGCCCAATAATATCTGACAATGAGTTCAATTAACACTAATTTAAATATTACTTAACATTGAATTAGCTTAAATTATATTTACAATGAGGTAATGATCATCATCATTTAACATAAAGTAATTTTTAGTACCTAATTCTATATCTAATTAATTTTAAAGCATGATTAAATACACATATTTTAGGAGAAGTTGTAATATAGTACTATTTACAGTAAATTAGTGAAGAAAGTACCTATCACTGAATCATGCCTGTATAGCATATCATAAATAAGTTTCGAAACGAACACAGAAAACTATATGTATAAAGATAATATTAAAAATATTATATATTGCAAAAACCAGGTCAGATTAGAAATCTTGGAACACTAGTGACTCGATAACCTAAGCTGATATTGTGTGACAGATTTCTGATCAATCTTAATAATACAATCGTACTTAATCAGCACCGTTCAAAACAATACACTCTGAAATATTACATGGCTGTTGTATATTACAAACAATAATAAATAACAAAACTTTACACATCTCACACACGTCAGTCTGATCCCAAGTGATGATAAACACACTTATATATTTCTAAATACGTAAATATTATAGATTAGAGAACAAATGATCGTGCTCATCACACAATTAATTGTCCAGGGTAAGAATCGAACCCACTACTTAAGGCTTAGCCGTCAGAGTCACAAACCACTAGAGGTCACAGTCAAATCACTCATCTCTTTCATCAATTCTTCCATTAGCGATACCGTGTACATCGACTGGGCGTCTAATTGAACGTCTATCACCCAAGCGTGGTCTGAATTCTGTTAGGTCTCCTATAGATCTAGATCTGCGATAGTTGCTTCTTCGAGATGGTTCATGTTCTTCTTCCACAAAATCTGGTAATGAATGAAACGACGAGTTTAAACGAGGCATCAGTAACGCTTCATCGTACGAAGGAGGGAGGTCCTCGGTTAGAGGTATTCTCAAAACAACAGTCTCAACTCTTGGTTGGGGAGTTGGACTGTTAACACTCAGTACTGTCGATCTGGTAGGTGGCCTTTGGGACTCACTAGAATTGTTCATAAGACAACGACATACGCATGAAGTCACGAGTACCCCGATTACAATACCAGCTATGACCGCAATAGTTGTGTAAGAAGTAAATGATGATTCTGACGCATGCCACGTCTGTATGTACGCCTGCTGCCAACTCATCTGGGTCACGTTGGAAGGGGAGTAGCATATTAGTGACGCCCTATCTGCTACCTTTGCTGGATCTTTGGTCAAATACTCATAAGTAAGTAATAGACTTACGTTAAAGCCTTCACAATTCCATCGGTTTCCTTTCACATAGACTTCCCTCAAAAAAGGATTTGAAGCGAAGCGTGAAGTCGACCATACTTCTCGAAACTCGTTTCCTCTCAAGTCAAGTACAGCCAGATGCGGTAATGACGAAAAGGTTAGGTCTGTTAGTGAATATATGGAATTATAGCTTAGATTTAACTCTTGTAGTGTTTGTGATGCTAAATTATCCGGAATTTCTTCTATCTGGTTCATAGACAAGTTAATTTCCAAAAGTGAACTCATTCCAACTAAAGAATTAGCATTAAGATTTGCGATTTGACAGTTACTTAAGTGTAAAATCCGCAGGGAAGATGATTGGAAATTAGGCACAGTTGAAATGTAATTCCTATCTAAAACGAGAGTCTCTAGGTGATGTGTTTCGGAGAAAGTTTCGGGCTTCAAATCATTTATTCTATTTTCACTTAAATCTAAAAACCGTAAGTTTGGCATTGTCGTAAATGCTTGGTCATCTATTACGTTTATTTTATTTCTAGACAAATCTAGATTCTTTACAGTAGAGGTGAAGTCATTACTGATCCACGATTCGTATAGGTTATTAGATAAATTAACGGTTCTTAGGTGTTCCCACTGTTCTAAATAGTCCGGTAAAGGAAGGCTTAGGTAGTTGCTTGATAGATCGAGAGTCTGCACTTGAGAAAAACTACTTAGCTGCATCGGAAAAATCCTGAAGTTGTTATTCGATAGGAGTAGCACTTGGGCCTGAAATAAAATAATGTTATTTTAGTATACTTCATAGAGATTTAATATTTATCTAATAATAATTACTGAGAAAATATTAAATAAGGTGATACTCTTTTTTAAATCTAATAGAAAAAAATGTTTTCTGATTAATTGTCAAATTTATGTAAACATCGGCAGTAATTCATAATACTGCTTTTATTTTTATCTGATAATAGCTTTTGAACGTGGCTTCGGTCGCGTGTATGTCGGTTCTCGCGGTAAAAGTAGCCTATGTAATGTAAATTTCCATTGGTGAAAGAATGTTTAATCGGTTTAGTGGTGTAGGCGTAAAAGCGTAACAAACAAAAAAACTCACTTTCTCATTTATAATATAAGTATGGAAATAAAGATGATATAAACTCTTGTTTAATTTCATTCATTTCGATTTACACTTTTAATCCAGTTCAAACATAAATGAATCCTACTAGTTTGTCCTAAAAAGTTCATCGTAACATGAGTCAAACTTTATGAGTTCAATCGTAAACCAATTTCATTCGACCGGATGGCGTAGTGGTTTGAGTGACGGACTGCTATTCCAAAGGTTGCGGGTTCGATTCCCGCTCAAGTCAAACATTTGTGTGCATGAACATTTTAATGTTTGATTTGGTCTGGGTGTTTCTATGTATAATATGTATGTATTTACAAATATATATATATGTATATTTATATCAGTTGTCTAGTACCCATAGTACAAGCTCTGCTTAGTTAGGGATTAGATGGCGTTGTATGAATGTGGTAAAAATATATATATATATATATTATAAATAGTAAAAGTTCATTCAAAAAAGGCTTGTAACAGTAGTCGGTTTAAGAGGTACAGGTAGAGGTAGTGGAGAGGATATTCGAACCGGTCACCTCTCGAATTTAAGTATTACTTACTTACTTATAACAGTGCGTACTTACGAATATTAAGATACGATTGTGTACTTTATTGCTTAATTTTTCCTTCTGACAACATATTGACATCAAAGTACGAACCAAGTTATAACAAATTAGAATACTTTAGAATACTATATTTGGCATGCTTATGTCCATGGCAAAAATGGTCTTTCTTATCACACAACGGACTTACGGATACCTGACCTCGATTTTTCTGAGTTACCCCAGTCTCGGTCTCGCTTCCATACCTGAAACTATGGGTATGTCTTGCCCTGGCTGCCCCATCCGTTTTCATGAACCCAAATTGGGTTCTATATTCGGGTCGTCTAAAAACGATAATATTGCCAAAGTCGATTACCATCAGACATGTGGCCGAGCAAAAAAGAAACCAGTCAAAACTCCTTACAATGTCATGCATTGCGCCAACCCCAAATAAAGTTACCCCAAATTATTATGATGATAGTTACAAAATACGTACTGCTTTTGCGTTCAAAACTTAATACCTGGCTAAGATATAAAGGTTATGATTTTTAAATTTTATTTATTGCACCAAAATTGTTTCTGATGTATTACGATGTCAGGGAATGGAGATTGTTATAAAAAAAGTTTTTTACTAAGCTGATAAATTCATAGAAATTCCGTGGGCCGTGGGTTGCAGGTGCAAAGACAGGTTAAGTGGGTTTAAAATACTTCAGTACAAAATTATTTTCTTAGCGATTTTAATTTTATTACGCAAAAGAAAACTCAAGGGTAAGAATATTATATTTGTACAAAAATTGACGATTCTTCTATTTGTCTCTCTATAATTACAAATATTATCGAATACGATACCCATACAGATGGATATTCTGACAATGTGGTTTACACGGCAAGTTCAATCATCTCATTTGAAATTTATTTTATTTGTACTTTTCCAGTGTATTCTATTCATCGCACTCATTCATCATCATCACATTCATCACAGTCACACCCGCTGACTCAGCATATGGTTGGCGGAAATGCGAATAAATAGTATAAATTTGCAATGATCAACTCGTCTTTCTTAGATCACAAACAAATCTATTTACAATTAAATAAATGGAGACCTCAGAAACTGCGCCTAAAATATGAAACGTGAACACATTACCATAAACTATTTTTCAGTACTGAATCACATGGATTCGTCAATGTTAACAGCAATCATGAAGATTTAGAGACTAAGTTAAAACATTACATGTAAAATAACCAGAAGCCTAATTAAGAACCCACCGGGAGAGTAATGGGTTAATAACGAAATTATTGCTGAAATCAGCTTAAGAAATAAAATATGGTTGCAACTTAAGAAGGATCAAGGTAATGAGACATTAGGAAACGAGTTTAAAGTGATGAGCGATCAGGTTACTAAACTAATATATTCTACAAAAAATTCTTAATTTAACAATTAGCAAATGATAAAATAAATCAAAGTAGTGCTCGGTCAAAACTTTTAATTGATTATAATATAGTTACTGACACAAAGAAAATTTGTGAAGATTTTAATAAATATTTTCCAGGATCTGTACTTTCAGAGAAAATACCTTAACAAATTTATAACAGTTCCACAATGTTCGAAATTAAGGTACTAAATAATTTGGGTAGGTTAATTGGGATTGGTAATAAGGTACTTAACAGGGTGGCACTCCATCACCAAGAAGCTGATTTGCACATAGCGGCCACACCCTAAGAAACCACGTCAGCTCGTGGACAAAACCTGGTTGAGAAGACTTACCCGGTCCATGCCGGGTAGGTAAGAACCCGGAAAACTCCCGTATAGTGCAAAAGCCTGGTTCGGCGTAAAGAGAAGCCGCAATAATAAACAAAGGTCTTGGTGGATACGGCGAGCCAGCAAAGCATTGTTGAAAGCTTAGGGCGACAGTAGAGGTCAAAGTTACTGTTGGTCCGAGCCTATCTCCATTCGTAGCGGTACTCCGTTCCACTGAGCAAAGATGGGCAAGGACGAGAGTGTGCACTTGCGCCCATGCAACCGCTTGTGCACTTAAATATATTACGCAAAGCAGACTGCTTCTGTTTCATGGGTTCCGAGCATAAGAAAGCCCTACGGCAATGGGTGGAGGTAGAGAGGTCAGGTAGCGGTGCATGCTTGGCTTTGTCCAAATCCTGCACGTTGGCAGCCCAAAGATAAGTGGTCATTTCTGCTCCTTTGCTCTTTGCTCCTCCCACTCAGTAAGGGGGAGTAGCAACCGCGGCTGTTCACGCAGGCCATTTCTCGCGGTCGAAATCACAATCGGGCTTCGGGCTTCTTTACAAATTTGACATTGCTGCTCCCAGCGAGACCCGACTGGCCAATGAGGGCAAACTCGTAGCCGAAATCGATAAGGGGATATTTATACTAAATAATATCACAACTCATTCACTACAACATAACGCCATGTAATGCTGAATAAATTATTAAAAATCTCGATTCCAACTCCAGTAGTGGTATAGATAAAATAAACACCAAAATCGTAAAAAAAAACTACAAAACCTAACATCCAATGCATTGACAAAATGCTTTTATAAACTCATGACTGACGGCTAGTTTCTTGATTCTCTAAAAGTTGCTAAGGTGAAACCAATTCATAAATCTGGACCTAAGAGTGACTGCAAATATCATCCGATTCCTATGCCGACATGCCAGTCATGTCTAAAACACTAGAGAAACTTATCCATAGTCGCTTATAAAAACTACTTTGATACTATTTACTTTATATCTGAATGCCTTATGGATTTAGACCTAAACATAACACTACCTTAGCTACAATTGATCAAACAACAAAAATTAGAGATAATATAGATAATAAGAATATTGTTGTGGGTGTCATAAATTATTCATTAATTAACTCGAACATGCAACTCGAATATCAAAGGAAATGCACTTAAAATTATTATATCTTATTGCACCAATAAACACCAGTTGGTAAAGAAAGATGACGTAGAAAACAGTGCTTTACCCACTTACTTACGGAGTCCCCCAGAGGACAATTTTGGGACGATTATATTTTTTAATTCACATAAATCATTGCAGCATTAGAACTACATGGTCATTTACTACTTTGTACGCAGACGATCCTTGCTTATTTTATAAAGTATATAGGTACATAACATTGCTTCACATGCCCAAGAATATTTAAGTATTTTATTTGAGTGTTTCCAATATAAAACTAAAAATAAAAAAAAATTCAATATTAATAAAGAACCCACTAGAACGAGAGATTTTTATTTTAAATATCTTGCCTTAAGAATTATTAACTCGGCAATAGATTTTATTAAAGATAAACTTTCGTCACTCGCTGGTTCTCTCTACAACTTAAGTTATTGTATTTCTTAAAAATCGTTTGACTATTTACAATATTCTTGTTAAATCACATTTACTTTACTCAATAGAAATTTGGGGCAACTCAGGGAAAACAAAAATAAAGGAATTACAAAGAGTACAAAACAAGATCATAAAGATTTTATTTCGCTACCCATACTCAAAACCTACTTATAATTTTTTTGGAAACTAAGTTGATGAATATTAAGCAAGTTAAATATATAAGACTTGTATGTTGATAAGGAAAATGTTAGAAAAAAAATTCAAACTAACCAAAATTTTAGAGGCATAAACGTAGTAGGCGTCGACCCAGTTTATTTGTATTACCCAGAACTCGTACAAATTATGCCAAAAAAATATGATTTACGAAGTAGCACATATTTATATTAATTTATCCTCCTATACTAAGGCCCGTATTTTAAAAGGTGTCAGTCTTGAATCTAGTCTTGAAACTAATTTTATGTAGAGATTTTATATTGAACGTCACTTAGCACGAGAATCACCGATCCATACTCAAGTGAGTAATAGCTTATTTTAGAACAATGTTAATGTTGAAATCTTTACTCAGATATAGATTTTGACAGCTGTGATCTTTGTTTACGTGAGACAAGATGAAACTAGTCTCAAGCGGTGATTTCTAAGGCATTTTAGGGGAAATGAATATGTTTTACGAATAATTACGAAAGATTTACTTTACTCTATTTACGAAATAATCAATTCACTTTAATTTATAATACTTAAGTTTTGATCTGCACTTAAAACTAGTTTCAGGCAATCAGAGTTCGTTTGAGACGTCTTTAAAACTCATCTCAATCTTTTAGAAAAACCAATATCATTCACTTTTCTTGCCATAGTATGACATGACGCAGACAATTCGACAGGTCTTATAATTATACATATTAGTGAGTTGTGCATTTAAGACATTTTCGCTTCATCGATATATGAGTATTGTGTTGAATTCTTAGGAGAAAGTATAAGGTCGAATTATAGAATCGATACGAATTCAGGTGGTAGTAGGTGTACTTACACCTACTACCACCTGAATTCGTATCGATTCTATAATTCGACCTTATACACCTGAATTCGTAACTATGATTATTGCAGCTACTTTAAAAACAGTGAAGCTTATCTGAGTAACGGGTTACAACATAAAGAAACACATACATCATTTTCTAAGTTATCAGGCAACTCGTTAAGACCGCGGTTCCTGCAGTCTAAAATGCGAAGTCCGCCCAGCGTGTATGTTGTACAGGATGAGAACTCCGTGTCAAATGCAACTTCTCTTCGCACCACTCCAGCCCACACCATAGGCACCAGCCATATCCATAGCGTTGACAGTACCACATCTGGAAAATACATAAAAGTATTTAGTATGACTAACTTATGGGTCTAGGCATTGTGTACTAAATTTCTACAATAATCTTAAGGAATTTTGAAATTTTAATGAATTAGTCAATCCTAGTCTTCAAACGAAGTTTTGTTATATTATATCTCATGTGTAGGTACTAATGTCCGACAGTTATACCTTCATGTTGAAGTTTTATATAATTTCGGCACCTACTAAAAATTTCTCGAGTTTCTTCTTTTTTTAAATGTCTGCAGACATATTTTAAGTATATACGACTCGAAATATTTTTCTTGTAAATTTTGTATGTTTAGAAGAAGTTAAGTTAACATAAGCTAAAATGTTGAAAGAAACAGTGTTGCAAATTTTTTATATACCGTAAAAACGCCTATATATGCTACATTCGTCAAAAATTTAGGTATATTGACCTGCCATGGTACAAGAATTCTACCAATGAAAATTCAAGTTATACTGACGGTTAAATGGTCGATCAACGGACTCGCTTAGCTGCCGGGTATATATTTATAATATACATGCATATTGTACATACATATACATTTACAAATATATTATCTTAACATTATATTTAAAGCTTTTTTTAACAATATTTTTGTCAACTTGGCCGCCTTCTGTTTGAGGTATGGTCAAATTACTTTTAATAAAAAAAATACGTAAATGTTAATACAGTTAATAAAATCAAAAACTAGTAATAAAGTCACTAGTTATCGTGCCAAATTAAAGATAATTTTGGCACAATCATTGAGTGCTTTATCAATGCGTAAAGAATAACCACTTGCATAATATAAATGGCACGCCTAACGCACGATAATTTAAATCATGTAATGTCACTCTACAATCGAAAAGAAATCCGTAAGAAGTTGTACTAGAGTCATAATTTAATATCGACTTCTGTTATCGGTACACTCATTATCATACAATGTGTATACCGGAGCTAATTATAAAGGTATTTTTTGGCAATTTTAAAGTAAAAACGTGAGGATATTGCAAGATTAAACTTATTCTTGTCGACAACGAACAATGTTATCTTATTTAAAAATGAGCACCAATAATTTTAGGCTTATAAATAATAAATGTTTCTAAATATTGAAAAAAAATCGAAAAAAATTGGTTAGCTGACATCTGTCAACATCTGTCTGACAACTAAGGTTAAATGTTTTACTTTCAAAATTTAATCCTGTGGCTATATAAACTACAACAATTTTTTAAGAAAAGAAAGCTTACATTCAAATTTCTTTCTATAAACAATTATTTTTATTTAAATTATACAAGTGTTGGATTAAGCGCAATCCCTATAAAACTTATTTATGGAATGGAATGATATTTTTAGATTAGCTTAGTTTAACGATAATAGATAGAAAAAATTATTTAGTTTTGTAAATACTATAATATAACAAAGCCTTAAATTAGTATACGTTAGAGGCACTGTTATAGATACGAGTATATATATGTACATACATTGTAATAATGTATAAAGCATTGTAAGAGGATATCATAATTCGAAGTAGCTACATTCGACGCTACGAGTACAACAGCGTCAACCGGTAGCCCAGTAAGTACATTAAAACCTAAATACGCGATCGATAATTACTTTTACTTCTTCAACAATAACATAAAAAAAATCAATATGCTATTTTACAAAGAATGAAATACTTACTAGATCCCATTGAATATAAATTTTATAAACATAATAAGCACTTTCACATTGCACTGAGAGGCCTCACTACACATGCAGTACTGTCAAACTTATGGACACATGTTGAACGTTCCTCGAATTCGTCAATATTTTACAGATAAAGATTATGCCTTGAGTTGATATTGCTTTTGTAATGGTGAAGATAGTGACAGTCAGCGACACAAGGTGGGTTTGAATTCATAAGGATTTCCACAACATATATGATGTTGTTATTTCTGTACCTGTACCGCTCTGTATCTCTACACAAACAACAAACAGACAAACAAAAAACTCTTCAGCTTTAAATATATTAGTCTAAATGAGTTATTACTTATTATTAATTGGACAGACACAAAAATATCTGAAAGCAACCTAATAGCCTGACCTGAGGGTTTTTCATGCCAGACAAATTGTGAAAACAGCTTATAGGAATCTTTTTCCTATTTCTTATTGGGTTTGTATGTAAGTTTGACTTTCCAAAAGTCAAACGACAAAGGAGGATTTGGGTTACGCTATGAACACGTTATCTAAGGCTTTAAACGAACAACAACCTGTATCTACTACCCGTTATCGACGTTGTCTTATCACTGATTACTTATCGAGTTATCGCAAACGCAAAGAAATACATATTTTCACCTCGAAATACATGATTCACGCTATGCGTACGCAAGACTTGAATATGAATGCAAAATTGAATGAAAATATTAGTTTTAGACATCATTAATCTCACTAAAGGTACTTTGGCATTGTCATAGGTATAGGTATAGGTATAGGTATAGGTATAGGTATAGGTATAGGTATAGGTATAGGTATAGGTATAGGTATAGGTATAGGTATAGGTATAGGTATAGGTATAGGTATAGGTATAGGTATAGGTATAGGTATAGGTATATAGTATTGCAGTCGTAAAATGAAACGTTTCTTAAACTTCAGATTATAGTATAGTATGACTGGCAGTAATATCGTTGTTTATATTCATGACAAAAACAATTTATCAACAAAATAGGGTTAGGTACACATAAAGAGCAAACGGAAGTCCTTAAAGTTTGTTGAGTGTGTATATCGAGTTTTGTAATAGACTTCAAATAAGAAGAACTTTCATGTGTATGTTTATGTCATTTATTGACTGGTTTAGAAAATTGATTTTTGTTTGAAAAGGCATGTCACCAAGGTCATTTTATTGTCCAGATCTGACGATAGCATCTGAAGGAAAACGAGAAAAATTTTGCCATACTCTCCCAGTGGTGTGTTAACGCTCCTTAATTGATAATGTTGTTGTTATTATTCGATTTCAAAAAAGAAGGAGGTTCTATGTTTGATTGTGCGTACCTTTACAACTTTTTCAGTCAAGTGCATCACGCTTGAGTAACTAAAACCCTTACCACACTACCCCAGATTTATATACTAAATATTTAGTTTATAAATATCTAATCTATAATTGAAAATCATGTGCGCTAGACGGTGTAGGGTTTCAGGGTTAAACTAAAAATTTGTTAATAAAATCGAATACCTACTGCATTTTGCTAACTTGCATAACAATAGGTACTTTTATGATTATACCGTTTAAGTTTATACTGACTACTATAAACTATTTTTGTTAATTGAGCACAGGCTATTCCTCAACGAAAATGTAGTGCGGGCTAGTACGTTTTTTATTTATTTTCTCATTTTTTATGTTATACTTCACTTTTAATTCTATTCCATCTTTTTCTTTATCTTGTTTTCTCTTCATTGCTTTTACCTTTTAGTACTTAACTACTGACATACTGGTGCACACACTAAAACAATGTTGTTATATATTTAATGATGCCAATGTATCTAGCTTTAATTGAAAAAGAGTGGCCGTGAGTTTTTTTGCCCTTTCTTCTCATTAGGCTCCCCATTAGGCCGTGTCTAACCCCTTAGATACGGTCGGTTGTAGATCGGCACAAACATATACTTAATGGATTAATTTCATTTCTTAATGTATTTTGTCAAATGTTTATTTTGTGTTTTTGTGTTTATTTGACAAAACAAAAATGTTTGAAATCGTATTATATTCAAAGTCATAGATCAATATGTGTTTTGATCTACTCGTATGACTTTGAGTAGGTATAAGACGATTACAAACATTCCTTTTTTCATTATGAAATAAAGATATTATCAGTTTAAGTTCAGTTCAATACTCTGTATTAGTGTTAGCTTTTTTTAATGCTCGTTAATTAATATTTTAAACATAATCCCAAAAATTGATGGCAAATTAATGCCTAATAATAATTTATTATATGCATTATAAATAATTATAATGCACAATAACTTTTCGCGTTGAAGTTTCAATATTTAAGTCTAAGGTTAATTGTACTTGTTCTTAGTAAACTTGATATTTTTATGAACATAGTGACAGCTTTAATAGATCTTCGCGGCATGGGTCGTTACTTTAAGTACAAGAGTCAACAGTGCAATTTTTATTTACTTTTCAAATATTTAGTCGATGTGGTGTTATATAAAGTATTTGACAGATTCTAAATTTGAAATAAAATCGATCGAACTGCAATCACGCTCAGATGATCGACAAACGTGTTTACCTATAAAACAATCATTAAGCTGCCATGTCTCAAAATCCTAAGTGCTGCAGGATTAATCTAAACAGGTGTCGAGACTCGGGGTTTCGCAAATACGCGACACGTTCGACTCGTCACGCCTGTCTGAGTTCGTTTGCACTTTGTGACCTGTTTACCGCCCCCATCCCTTCAGATAGCTCTCAATGGGGAGGTTGAGATGTTCTCTGATAAGCCCCATCGATTAGAATGAATGTTCTGCACTGTACATAGAAACCTCGTTGAGATTGGCTCTCAATGGAATGATTTTTAAGTCGAGATGGTTTTTATTGAAGTCAAAGTATTAAACGGGGCTCTTAAGTATAAATATTTGTATGAAATGATCTAAATAAGGGAGTCTATTACTATTATTACGGTAATGATTTTATATTACTTCTTAGTTCTTAAGGAGATTTAGCCGTAGGAGTGAAGCCTCCAAATCGAACCCGGGAGTTTACCTGGCATCTGCTTCCAATACAAGATAACATACAAACCTAACCAGTGCTTTACTTACATCCTGGTAAGTAAATGCGTCAAATGACGTTGCAAACATCTTTGTGAAATACTTAGATTTGCAGATAGCAAAGTCATAAAATCTACCTTAATGATATGTTCTAGTCAGTACGAGTAGACAAAATGTTATAAAACCGTTAATATTTTCATCCGATTATATTCCTTTATTACAGAACTAACAGAGCTGTTTATGTAGGATTTGTTCAAAGCATAGCGTTCACAAAGTGTTCTTTAAGACGCCCAACTAGCAATTTCTTGCGTATTTTTTTATAAAGTTCTTTGTTTAGTAATACGAGGGAAGAAATACTAAGGGATACTTATATTTAAATACGTATTAGAGTTCCGACACGTGTTTAATATTCTTAGTGTACTTTCAAACTGAGTTGAAAATTAATTATTTTCCTTGTTACTTTTTTCTTCTAAGTGTTCATGAGGACGTATCACAATAAAAAAAAAATACGAAAGGTCAAATCCCAAAACAGAAACTATTTAAGAACTGTTAAAAAAATTCTAGTGCTTAAAATCTGAGTTAGTGTAAAATGTAATCAAAGTAGCGCTTCCGTTTGGGCGGCAAGTTCAATAAATAAGGATAAAGCCCATTAGAGACGGTCCAGCAAATCTTCGACCGCCGAACGCCACTTACTTAGACTTAAAGTGTTCCGGGGAGCTATTTTGTTAAAGATTTGGGATTGCAACGTCTATTTTGAGATATGTTTCACAACAACAAACCGTAATTTTATTTGCCTGTACATTTGTCGTCTCTAGAAAAATCGTGAGACTTACTTAAAATTTTAAGAGTTTTCATAATTTACATTTAAAAAATATTTGTAGTATATGCATTTCAAAAATGTCATGGTTTTTCCATGGCCCAAGACATCATGAGACATAAAATCTTTATACCTATTTCGACCATTACTTATAAGACTAGTTTTTTACATGATGATTATGAAATATATCTAAAGCTCTTCAACTAGAGTAAATTACTACGTGGAAAAGAAATGGTGGACGAGCAGTTTGGTGTATAAGTTAGTAGCTACTACGTAGTCGCTAGTCGGTGCGATTGTATTAGGTTAGTAAATGTTGTTTTCGTTATTTTTACATGAACGTCTATAGGGAGCACGATCCACAATAGTATTATACGAAGACATACACACTCACTTAGAAATAATTATGCTAAGCGATAGTTAAAATAGCGAATTCTCTGATCCGATAAAATACTTGTACTATAGTAAAAAAAAACTTGTGCTGACTTGCTGAGTTTAGATGCATAAATAAACAAGCTTCATTTCTTGCTCTAATAATGGCTAATGTAACTTTTATAGTTACTAGGTGTTAATAAAACGTACAATTACTACACTAATTATTTATCTAATAAACAAAAAAGAATGATGTGTTGTGTCGTCACTTCACCAATGATACGCAATTCTCGTATGGTACTCATGCGGCTCTCTGGCAACGCGATTTTCTTACAGGGTAAGAATGCTGTATGCTGTGTTGTCCTATCAACTAAACTACTAAAGCCAATACCAAGTTCTATGGCATTCTTTTTCTACTTCTGCGTAGTTTTTAAAACCGCAACCAGTGTTCAAATAAACATTTGACAACTTTTGGCATATACCTACAAAAGAAAATGAAATTCCGAAAACATATAAAAATATACATCGAAAACAATAAAACATCATTAATATCAATTGGGGATCAATCCGTTGAATTACAAGGTCCGGCAATGTAATGCTGACCCTTCGTGTAACCCGAAGGGATCAGGGAAATATGATAGGTCGGAGTACCGTATTTATTTGTGCCCACTAAGGATTTGCCCTTCCACGATAAGTCGTCTGACCCAAAACGGGATGGCAATTTGCTTTATTGACTTGTTGATCTGTGAGATATTATTTTTTTCACT